TAAATGTCATCAGAGCTGGATCATCAGCTGCGATGTACAGGTTTGAGTTCAGCAATCTAAAATGGACGTACAAATGAGTGAACGGAGCATATGAACATTTACGCTCTCGCACTGATAACAGATGGTGCCTCATCTTTAGGATTGTGCAAGAGTGATGACAAAATGGGATCAATGATCTATTACAATGCGTCTGAAAAGTCGAGATACTTTCGAAGATTTAGTTTTCGAAGCAAATTGAGTGGCAAATTGGCCCATTCGTGTTCAAGTGCCTTCCGAAGATCACCCACCTTAGCAAACTGTGTTCCATTTGCATACACTCGTCGAGCCAAAACATCCCAGAGGTTCTCGATAGGGCTCAAGTCAGGGGATCAAGCGGGCCACTCAATAATTAGGATGTTCTTCTGGGCTAGATAGAGTTTTGTCTGGGCTAACATGAATGCTCGCATTATCCTGTAAGAAACAGAAACCATGAGCAAGATTTGAAGCAAAAAATTGAGCAACCTCTTTGTCTAGCACATAATGATAATCCTCGCTATTCATTCGAGAAGTGATAAACTGAAGGGAGAAAGTTCCGTTGACACGAAATGCAGCCCACGTCATAAGTGAGCCACCTCCGAAATTTCTTTTAGAAAAAACCAAAGGTTTTTTCGAGAATTGTGCCAATAGCTTCAGAATCCATCACATCCATCTAAGTTCCACTTTTTTCATCAGAATAACTAACTTTTGTCCAGTCACTTCCCATTTCGTTTTTTGCAAAAAGTAGTCGCTTTGTGATCTGTTGAGTGACGAGCCTTGGGGCTTTCAACATCTTTGCAAAGCTCAGATGAGACGATGAACTGATCACACGATAAGCAGTTGACTTTGAATTACTTAGTCCGCTCTCATCGGCCAGTTTTTTTCCATGCTTTTTGACTGTTTGAAGCGGAATTTATAAAATGGCGTCTGTCCCTATAAGTCAACGTTGACGGACGTCCCGTTTCATTGGCTTTTTTCGGCCTCTTCTGCCGCTGGATCACATGCTGAACTCCTGCTTTTGATCTTTTAAGTTGATTAGCAATTCCGGAATAGCTTTTTCCTATTGCATGCAGAGCCATGATTTGGCCTTGTTGAAAGGGAGTCAATCTTTTGTAACCGGCCATCTAGTACCTAAAAATTCAAAGTTAGCGGATATAAAAGTAACAAAGGTACAATAAAGCACTAAATCAACCATATTTTTCAACTAAAGCAAAGCAAACTAATCAAAGCAATACGAATTTGTTAAGGGTATCTCGACTTTTGGGACGTCCTCTTTTAAAGTTTGCTTTTTTAAAGCCTGTTAGCTTTGTCAACAATTATAGAAATTGAATAAATATAGATTTTCAAACCTCCTGCATCTGGTATGAAAGTCCAAAAGTCCACCGCTTTTCAGAAATCCTGAAATTTCTACAATCTCGACTTTTGGGACGCACTGTATATATGTCGTAGCCGTTTACGAAATTCAGCCGCTAACGAATCATTCAGCCGCTAACGAATCATCATAACGAAGCTAGCCGATTAAGAATGAAATTTTTTCGCTAGCCGTGCACAATTTGTAATCGGCTTCTGCGAACATGGCTCGATTCAAATGAGTCTTTGATTTCAAACTATTTATGCAAAACGCAAATCAGCAAACTAATCACAACAAGTGAAATAAAATTTATAACATTTAACATGTATAATATATTAACGTTTATTAACGATGACCCAATTTCAGCAAAGGGGCATTTTGACAACTTTTAATAGCTCGCTAAATTCTCTTTTCTTTTTTTGTGTAAAAAATTTGAAACCAAAAACACGGTAAATTCATTTGAATCTAACTATGCTCGCATCGCAGAAGCCGATTACAAAGATTTCGTACACATCTAGTGAAAAAATTTCATTCGTAATCGGCTAGCCGTTAACGAATGATTCGTTAGCGGCTGAATTTCGTAAACGGCTACGACATATATAAAAGAGAAATGGCCGTGAGGGCTTGAGATCAGCGCACTACCACTGCGCCATGAGTGAAAATTTTCATTTCTGCTGAAATTTGCATATGGGGGTTTCCATTTACGAAGAGCTGGCTTTTGCTATTCAATTTTGAGTCCCAGGGTCGATCCCTGTAGGTTGCAAAAAAGTGCCGAAAGTGAGATTTGGAGCCCCAAAATGGACAAATGCCCCCTGACTTGGTTGACACAAGGCAACTACGATACCATGAATTCCCTGAGAAATTCAATAAAGAATTAAAGGAAAGAAAAAGGGGAGGAGGGCGCACCATTGAGTGAATGTATATTGTTAGCCAACAGGAACATAAGCAATTTGCCCTTAGCCTTCTTTTGTTATTAGGTTGAGGAAGAAGTAATGTCGTTTTTTGTCACAAAATTGTTTATTGCTAAAAACATAGACAAACGCAGATCAATCAATGAGATATTCTCCATTATTATTGATGACTTGTTCCCATCTTTGTCGCAAGTCCCTGATCGGATCCTCAAAAAAATGGGGAGTTTTCGAGCCAAAATAAGTGTCGACTGCTTTTTTGATCTGTGCATGATTCTCAAACTTTTCGCCCATAAGAAAACCCTTCGACGACCAAAACAAAAAATAATCTGATGGGCCCAGGTCCGGACTATAAGTCGCGTGGGGCAGAAGTTTCCAACCAAGCTCGTCGATTTTGTGGTGAGTGATTTTTTGCAGCGTGAGGTTTTGCATTATCATGCAAAAATAGCACTTTTGATGTTTCAACGCCCAATTTCTTTAAAGCCTCGTTAACTCTCATCAACTGTTTTGAATAGCGATCAGCGGTGACAGTTCCACCCGGATTCAACAACTCATAATACTCTAAACCTTTTGTATTTCACCAACAGCAAAGCCTAAGTTTCTTTCCATGAATACCGGGTTTTGAAGTTTGTTGTGGGGGTTGACCAAGAGAAAGCCACGGATTTTTGCGCTTCACATTCTCATATTGAATCCATGTTTCATCAGATGTTAGAATTCTTCCCCAAAAATCAGAGATTTGCCTTTTTGAAGCAGAGTAGAGCTAACGATAACACGAGTTGTTTTGTTGCCTTGAGCCAGTTCATGAGGAACCCATATTCCGCCGTGAATTGTTTTTTCTAACTGATGTAAGTGGTTGTCGATTGTTTTTTGGTCCATCCCAAATGTGTCCGCTAACTCACAAGTGGTAACGGTTGGATTGAGTTGAATGGCATCAAGCAAATTCTAATCTGAAATCTCCTGGGGTCGTCCAGACCGTTCCTCGTCTTGGAGACTTTCATTTCCATCTTTGAACCGCTGAAACATCTTTGGCATTGTCTTTCGCTAATGCTGTCTTCCCCCAAAAACTTAATGATTGTCCGATGCGATTCAGCCGCGGATTTCCCTTGTTTAAAATCATACCACAAAGTCGAAACTTTTCGTCTTGCATTTTGTACCTGAAAATATTGTTAAATTTGTAAAAGTTAAATATAATATGAAAGTATAGAATGTCTAGCTGATATCTATTTGAAAAAATCGCATAAGCAAAGAACTGGAGAATTGCCAACAACGGGAATTGAAAAGCGACATTACTTTTTCCTCAACCTAATATATGAATGAGGGTTTACCTAATTTTATTGGCCTTATCTGTTCGGAGGAACAGATAAGGCGGGGAAAGGCGTTGAGGAAAGGCGGGGCCAAAAGAGACCTTCCAAAAAGATAACACCAAGATCAGCCCCTCCGCCGCCTCTATCCGCTTGCCCATCTACTATATGATTTTGTCTTAATAAACATTTGCTCATCTCATCCCAACTACAACACCAAATCAAAGGATAATATTACTAAGGTTGGTGGTGTTCACATTATCAGACAAGGGCTCCCCTCTCCTCAGTCCGCTGGGAAGAGTCTAGTCGTCAAGGTAAGCCAAGGTAGGAACATGGGTTTCAAGGAAGAGAGTTTCGCTATACCCTAAGCACTAAACCTATACTTGTATATCAATCTGGTATACAATAATTTGAAGATGTCCGTACGGTGGAAGGAGTGGTGCACACAACTTTTGTGGAGGATGCCAAAGCTGCCGGTTACTTAAAAGATGACAATTTTTTCGCTCAATCACTTTTTGAATCTGCTGCTCTACACATGCCAGGTCAATTGCGCAGTTATTTTGTCTCTTTGATCATTTACGATGAACTGCATGCGCCAGTTCCTCTTCGTCTCTGGGAATTGCATAAAAAAAGACTTTATGGAAGGCTTTGTACATCGAGGCTTACCTCAACAGAGTCAAAAGCCTTCTATAACATTGTTGAGCGCATTACAGATTTGGGCAAAACTACAAGATTTATATGACTTTGGATATTCTCCGCCTTAATGAAAACAAAATCCCAATCGATTACGATCACCACAGACGGAAAGGCGAACTGAATTACATCTCGATGTTTTACATGCTATCGATCAGCTATATGGTCAAGGCTTTTTTATTGAAGGTCCAGTGGAAAAACCTTTGTGTGGAAAAACTACAACTATTTATCACCTGACAATCGCAAAGAGGTAAAGGTTATGAACGTTTCTTGAATCGGAATTGCAGTCAACTTGCTTTCAGATGGCCAAACTGTTACATCAGCCTTTCGTTTAATGGTTCATCTGGGGCCTTTCAAACAAAAAAGGATTGCTCGACGTGGGTGACGGAAAGATTCTAACAGATCTAAACGGAGACATCTCGGGAAAATGAACAATTATGTGCTTGACAAAATGCCTGGGGATAGAAAACCTTTTTTGAGTGAAGATGAAGCCATTGTAGAAGACCCAAGTGATGCACTCAACTCTCCTACTGAATTTCTTGCGAATTTGCAACTGGAAGCCTAAAGGGATCTTCTGTACTTATCCCAAGAATTGACTGCTACTATTCTCACAGACCGATGCTCTTCAAAATCTGACCAGTTAGGCTAAGTTTTTGCATGACAATCAATAAATCACAAGGTCAGTCGTTTGAGAATTGCTGTCAGAATTGCTCTCTTTGATCCGATCGAGCCATGGCCAATTATATGTCGCAATGTCAAGAGCCAGAAGCAGAAAAGGTATTCTCATCAAGGCTCCCAACGATCAGATGCGTAAGTTTGTCTACAACGATAATCTATTTTTATCATTAGACATGCTGATTGTGATCTTTAATTTGTTTCTATAGATGTAGCAAAAGATGTGAAAACGATCTTCAACTTGACTTTTGCAAGAAAACTCTTGCAAAAGAAAACTGCAAGAAGTTTTTGACCTCGACAATATTGTGCTAATTTGCTAGCATTTTATTTCGCAAGTCATCTCAAACAAAAGCAATGAGTGCTTGAGAAAATAAATCAGCAAAAGAGATACCGAGAATCAACCGATCTTGGCGCAATAGATTTGTTCTATTTGCCAAATAAAGTTCAAGGACGTAATGCATTCAGTGCTTACTTACTTACGGTTACTTATGCAACAGAATGATAAAGAAAAAATCGACCGGTATACTGGCGCCTTTCCAAGATGATTTGTACGAGTCTGTTCCGTGAAAACCGTGAGAACCCTTACGAAAATCACATTTGAGCAGTGCTATCCACAGTTGGAAGATTTCGTCAAGAAGAAACTTTCTGGAACAATAAACCATTGCATAGCTTGAAGAGAAGGAAACGCCTAACTTGATCTCAAACGTTTTGTTTCATTAAAGTACAAAAGTTCATAAAGTTGATCATTTTACACAACGGAAAGACGGTAAGTTGCAACTTGCAAGGAGCATCGTTCGCAGTTTGCCATAATTTGGATCGACACTCAAGGTACTTTTGATCAAGCAACACAATTTCTTTCAGTTTCCCAACAATTCTTAGTTTCCAAAATCATTAGATTCAATCAGTCTTGTCAAATATCTAATACCTGTGGACCACCATTTGCAGAAATTTTCCCAACTCTTGTTGATTGGTAGATAACATTCCACTTTCTTTTGCCAGAATTTACGAAATCTAGAGTTTTTGGGGTAAACAAAAACAATAAAACTATTTAAAAGGGGTGGGGTTTCTCATAGTCGATCCTTTATTTCAACCAAAGATTAAAATTGCCTCATGAAATTTTTAATTCTTGGAATAATTTTTTTACCATTGAATTCAGCACATTTTTCTGCGTTGAATGGCTATCCAAACGTAAAAATCCTATAGAAAACGCATTTTCGCGCGGATGTGCCTCTCCCTCTCATTTTCCCAATCCTCCTCGCGTTTTATTTCGCAAGCTTTCGATGATGAGGATGATTGTGTAAAAAGATTCATTCTATGAGTTTTTCCCATCATCAATTATTCTTGGCTTATAAAATTTTATAGTTTTTTTAGTAGTGAACTCAAATATAAGTTACGTCTGAACTCGTTCACTATTTTCACTACGCAAGTTAATTCAATGGAATTTTCTAAGAAGCCTTTTGTGCTTAACCATTTTTTTTAATTTTTGGAATGGTGTTTCAATGGACTGAGTAATTGTCTTGTGTAAAGCTTTTTCATTAGTTGGACACTTTGTTGTGGTTTTTATCAAATGACTCATGGGAAATATTAGTTTTTTCGTGGGATGTGAATGAGAAGCAATGTAATAAAAGTTGACTAGACAAGGACAATTCCTTCATTTTTCTTTAATATCCTTCATCTTTCGATTTCTTCTTGAGCCAACTGGATGATCACCACAAGGTGGGTAGTTCAGTAACACTTTTTATTATTTCATCGACGATTCGTTAGATGTGACTCAAAAAACGTGTTTGACAAATGCATTTCCGTATCTTCCATTGATTCATAGATAGAAACATTTCTAAAAGAAAAATATCTTTAGATTATAAACCTTTACTAAAACTTCAGGGCAAAAATAAAATCAATTTCCATAGAGGAACTTGCGGAACAGAATCGAAGTCAAAAATTCCTGTGTCAAATTTAGTGCCAGTAAGAAGTCTTGATTTCTTTCTGAAGCTCCAATTTTTTTTAACTTTTTACCCTTATTTAGAAGTCTTGTTTTCTGTCAACTAAATAGAGTAATGGTTAGACCTAAATAGATCGAACTCAAGGGTTTAAAACGCTTCATAAGGAAGACAGTTTAGTCCCAAAATCAATAAACGATAATATGTACCTATGAGTTTTAGACGCCCAAAACCATAACTTGGTCTAAAAATTTCTTTAGAAAGCTAGAAAATCTAAATTCTGCAATATTGCTCACTGCTTATCGCTTGTCCTTTTCTCGTTTCTCTCTTTCTCTTCTCCGATCGATCGAAAATCTCGTTTTTCCCAGCCCCCATTTTCTTATGTCAGAAAGTCGGTTCATTTTGCTCTTTTATTTTTCTCTCTATTGATGGTTTTCTTTTCTTTTTTTCAAGTTTTGTATTTTATTAAAGCAGAATATGTAATTCACAGTTTCAAAAAATATAGAAATTTAGCCTAATACAAAAAACTTATTTTTTTACGAAATTCAATGGATAATTGGCAAAAAAAGATTTTAGGCTAAAGTTTCTTGCAGAAAATGGTAAATTATCCATAAATCTTTTCCCGAGTATCTTAGTTGACCAAAATTTAAAATTTCAAAAATTTAGGAGTTTTGTAAAAAACGATACGTATCGATACGATACCTCCTCTGATCTTTTTTGAAATAATCAGAGTCTCTTTTGGTCTCTCTCCTCTCACTCTCTTCTCACTCTCTTCTCACTCTCTCTCCCCCCTCTCATCCATATCAAATTGAGGAAAAAAAAGCCATCCCGAGTTGGGGATAAATTTCTTTTCTCGAAGTTTCCACTGATTATGACAAAAAAGTTCTCAGGTAAAATGACTGAATACCCGGGGTGCTTTCCTACCGACCAACAACCATGCATTAACTCGGATTAGGTTTTATTCGAAACAATCTGAACGTACAAATCTGAGGAGTAAGAATCAGCAATTGTAGGTAAACTGGGTTAGTTTTTAACATACCTATGCAAAATGTGTTAGGGAAATTAGACGGGCATCAGAGTTTGTACTTGGTTCATTGAGAAGTGAGAAAAAGAATTGCGAACGGATCTACCACACAATGAAAATAAATTTCTTTCATAATCAGCACCAGACTTGTTTCAATGATGACATCAGACACCGAGGGCAAGGGTTTGTTGTTGTTTTGAAACGGTGGTGACTCATCGTCTATTTTGTTATAGGTTTTCTAGGACAAGTGATAAGTATTAATACTATTGCTTTTAAGCCATTTTCAGAATAATTTCAAAATATCTTTCATAATTTTCTTTTATGTAAGAGTAACCTGGACCCGCCCTTTATTTTTAAATTTAAGAAGCTTAGCTTACCAGTCCATTCAAACTCCTTAATACCTCTTGATATTCGAAAAGCAAACCCCTTCTTCAATTTCCACATTTTAAACTCTTGGAAAACCTTTTTTGTTCTCGATTCCATTTTCCTCAATTTCATAAAAAAGCTTAATCGCTGTAATTTCAGATATTTTCAATGTCGACCCCAGCTATAGAGCCAAGAAGTCCTCCATTCGATATTCGTTTGGATGATCTTTCAATACAAAGTCCCCCTCAATTTCAAGAAGAACCATCAAAAGTTCAACGAAGATTCGTGAAAGCCATAACTCTTTTTGTGAAACCGATCACAAAAGATGGAAAATCAGATTTCGAGGAAGTGTTGGGTGACATTGAGTTGCCCGAAGAGTATAGACCGGATACGGTAAGTGATTAGCATTATTCAAGTAAAATCATGATAAGAATATATTAAAAAAAACTTGCTTATTCTTCACAGTCTCATCATAATTGCCCCATTTTTTTAGAAGGATCGTTTCTATCGTCCACCGAAACTCAGTGAAAACAAAAATGTTTATCATGTGATCGCCAGTGGAAATTTTGCCGATATTATGTAAGTTTTTAAACTGGTCTAGAAGAAAATCACTACTCGAGGCAAGGAATAACATTTATTTTAGCGCCGCTGTGAATCGAGAGGAAAAAGCTGTAGCTGCAAAGAGGTTTTTAAAAATTGAATAATGAAAATGCTTATAAGTAAACATTTAGATACAAGATTGAACAATTGAATCAAACAATTGATGGTTATACTCGCCTCAGAAGAGAAATTCAAATTTCTCGTTTCAATCGACATGAGAATGTAAGAGCTTTTAGGCATACAAAGTATAAAATTTGACTCTAGATTGTTGAATTTTATGATGTTTTTGTGGAGAAGCCCGAAAATCCAACCCACATCTGGCTTGTCACCGAAAGAATGGATCACACTTTGGAGAAATATTTTGAGTGAGTTTAAAAGATATTTCAGAAAAAATAACGAGAATTTACTGCAAGAATGGATTATATGGAAAATAGCTATCCAAAAAAGCCTTTCTGGTATTTTTTTTGTGGTGATTTATCAGTGATAAGAAGGTGTACTGTAGAGGGGAAAGAAAAGGATCAACCGCGTTGAATTGACCACAACTTTTGCAAAGTTCGCTGATGAGTAGATAGGAATTGAATAGGAACGATTATTTGAAGAGCCGGAAATTTGATTACTGAAGTTAATAATGTTAACTTTTAGACATCTCCGCCGTAACGACGAAAAATCAGAGCCGGTGAAAAGAGATCTCCGCCATATTGGAGCACTTCTCACTCAATTACTTCGAGCTCTTGATTATATCCATCAGCGTGGAATCATGCACAGGGTAAGACAAGATTAGAAAGATTAAAAAGTCTGTTTCCTGATCACAAACTTCAAGATTTCCTCACCAATATTGTTTTCAGGATGTGACTCCCCGAAACATTGGAATGAACCAAAAGGAGTTTGAGATCAAACTCCTCGATTTTGGACTTGCCAGGTATTCAAATTTATCTCTTCTATGAATAACTACTAATATTTCAGAGAAACAAATCCAAAACTCGATCACTCGACAAATGTCGATACTCCTTACATCTACAAATCTCTTGAAGTCTTCATGAGAACCAAATACAATACGGGAGTTGATATTTGGGCTGCAGCTTTAGTTGCTCTTGAAATGTTGGGAATAAAATTGTTTATGCCAACTGGAACCGATGAAGAAATCACAAAAAAGGTTTGTGAAACTGAAAATAAAACAAACTCCCATATTTCAATGGCTCTTCACTTTAACCTTTTAGATACGGAAACGTGGAGCGGAAAACGCCGTCAAGGACAGAATCTTCGCCGTTCTTGGAGTCCCAGAGGACCAATATCAATCAATGTAGGTTGAAACAACGAAAAGTGCTTAAAATTTCAAACTTTGAAAAAGACTTTATCTAAGAGACATTTTGAGCACAAATTTTCAGCTTTGGCCGACCCATTCAAGAGAAACCACACGACGGCGAGTTTGACAAGATTTGGGAGGAGAAAATCGAGCCACGTTTGGACAGAGATATCGGGCCATTAAGAAGTAAATTTGTTGGCATAAAAACTTGTTACAATTTCAAATTTCAGGAGAGGACTTTAAAGATTTAATTAAAAAGATGCTTCACCCAAATCCACAACAACGTTTGCGGGCCGATGAATGTCTCCTTCATCCGTTTTTGCGTATTTTGAACGTGAGTCTTTCGAGCTTTTGAAAATATGAACAAACGAGATGGCTACAGTGAGTACTTTTGAAATTCAAAATAAAGTATTTTTTAGGAAAAATACGATCAACGAGCCAGCTCACTCGGTACTGGAAAACAACCAAAAGATGATCAACAGATGAAAGCTCGAAACGCTCAAGATCGAGATGTTCTTTTGAAGGAATTGTCCGATCCACGCAATCAGCGTATTAACACTGATGAGAAATCGTTTCCCTGAACCTTTCCCAAAACTGACGGATTCAATGGCCTCTGGTAGCCCATCCGGCCGAGGATGTAGTAATAACGTTTGTAACAATGTTATTTTGAAGGGGAAGGACACCAAGGGTCATCGCTGTGGCAATGAAATAGAAACATTTTTAAAAAACAAATTAATAACCATAATAATTTTACATATCAGGGATTTTAAAACATGCAAATAATTACATTTTCTACTTCACTGATCACGGGTAGGGTAACTCTTGGTGTCGACCTCACATCTAAATTAGTCATAAATTTAGTGTCAATAATTCTCTCGTTAAATATCTTCATAGTCAAGACATTATTCTCAGCTCTGATTTTTATCTTCTGTCATTTCTTTTTCAATAAATTGTGTCTGTCAGTCACCTGGTTACCTTTCCATTGATTGTAAATATTGCTTTTCATTGTAATCTCTTGTGTCAGATTTGAGCTTGGATAAATTGGAATGATTCAAAAATATTCCAAGTCACATCTGTTGGCTGCTTGATTTCTGTTCTATCATTCTTCTGTATGAGAGGATCAGTCAAAGTGTTCACTTTCCATTAAAAACCAAAAACCAAAAAAAAAGATAAAAATAAAAATTCGAAAAATAGTTATTCTTTGGGAGTTTTTTGCCTTTTGTTGCTCTTTTTCTACAGGCGTGTTTTTTTCGGCTTTTCTAGAGTCTTTCTAGAGTTTCTAGAAAGTTTCATTCAAACGCTGTCCTTTGTATTCAATGCAAGTGACTTATTTTTCAATCACTTGTGTCAAGGGATATTTTTATGAGAAGATATTGTTACTGGACAGCGTCTTCAGATGTGATTTATATATTTACATGATTTCTATGTATATTCAGATAGTCATTATAATTTATATATTTTGCATGATTCACACGATTGCTAATTCCATAGGTTGATAAAAGGCAAGAGGCAAAGCAGAACAGAAGCAGTTTCTCTGTTTTGCGTTATTTGAAAAAGAATTCTACAACCGATTTTATCAACCGTAAGCTTATCTACATTGTATATGATTGCAGAATGAAATCTTGGAAATATTCCTGGGTTGGAAAGCCAGTTGCGACACTTTCTATTCCTGCTTGCTCTTCTTAAATCCCCAGATATATCTTTACCCATTTCAACGGAAATGTCACAAGTACCGCTTTTCTTTTCACTTACAATAAGTAATGCTTTTCGGTTTGTCCTTTCTTAATTGTTCTAGTAATACATAATGGATTCTATTCTCTGGAAATCTAACAATTGCTAATAAATCTTATCTAGCACACTCGAAATATATATTTGATATGAGAAACTTGGATCATAAGGCTTTGGAGGCAGACCCATCAAAATGGCATAGTTCTATGCTTCTACAAAACTACAAACTTTTTCTACAAAACTGTTTTCTAAATGGGTATGGCAGTTTCTGCTTTATATGAGGCAATCTTTTGTCTTTCCATTGAATAAACTGCATTTTCAATATTTTTCTTCCGAAATATTATTTTGTTTCGAGTATCTGTAGAACAGATCACAAAACTACCCTTTTCAAATACTTTTATCACCCAAAATGTCCAATCAATCCCCCTACCTAATTACCTAATTTAACATATGACCTTGTTACACAAAATTGTACTGCGTTTCATTGAAACCAATAGAAAGCCCATTTTTCTTTCGAAAAAAAGAAGATAAAAACGGGGATAACTGGCACAAGAAAAGCGATTGGAAGGCTCAAATTGCGAAAAAGAATCGAAAATATTTACAGGGCTAACCAACATTTTGGTGCATTTGGTCATCTGCTTTTGTCTTGTGAACGTTTTAAGACTTTGCACTACAAGCAAAACAATAAAACGAAGCCGGGAAAGTGTTTTTTTTTGTAAAGATTAGGCATTAATAAAGAACCTAGCCCAATAAATAATTTTAGTCTTTAACATTCAAAAAAATAGATGGTACACATTAATTTATATACTTTATTCACAACATGAAATAAAGTGCGCAAAGATTAATACACATGAATTCATACAAACACACGAAAAGGACCGATAGAAAGCAACACGATATAATGTATGTAATAATTGGGTAGCACAGATAAAGTCAAGAATCAACTAGAACTGCAAGATCAAGATCATCTACAGATAATTTAAAGGCTTTAAGAGTATTAGACTTTCTCAAAGCTCTAGGGAGTAGATTCCACATTCTGGCAGTTCGCATTGGAAAAGAGTTATAAACAAACTTATGGGAGGTGACTGGAATTTCTAACACGAAAGGGCCTCTTCTTGAATTAACCATAGGTTAAACTTTGGATAAATATCGAAAAGAGGGATAGATTGCTTCCTTTTTACAGTTTTGAAACACTCTATTAAATCCGTAACCAAGCGGTGGTGCCTAAGGGATTTAAGATCAAAATTTTTAGTCTATCAGTGTAACTAGAGATTGCAAATTTGGAAAAATCTTTATTCATAGAGCTACCTTATATATGTCTGCTGGATTTTTTTCTAGACGAGAGATATCAATTTTGTGTATGTGAACTTTACAGGCCATTCAAAAAAGTGGTCAACTTCGTCACCATGAAAAACTTTTTCTGTTGCTTTTTCATAACACATCGTGGTGTCAAATATGGTTTTGCCTCAAGGGCCACACATTAGCAAAAAGTTGATTTTTTGACAATTTCATGATGGCAGGATATCAAAAGGGATCCACTCTCTTTAACTTAACCCAAATTCTAGTCCATATCCATTTACTCCTAGGAACGAACATCAGGCATTAATAAAGCCCAATCAATAATTTTAGTCTTTAGTATTTAAAAAAAAGGTTCCACACGTTAATGAATTTTTTTAGAGGCGACGGGTTCCGTTTGGAGCGAGTAACGAAACGCAGGTCATTTCTATCAATTTTTCGACATCAATTTTTTATTGAACTCGCAAGTGTTCTCCAAACAGTGAGCAAGCTTTACTTAAAAAAAGAAATCGTTTTGAAATTACTTGAATTGAATATATCCAATCCAATACCAAACAAATGAAATTTGCTGTTTTTTCTTGAGAAAAGGGTTTTGAAAAAAAGCTAAATGGTAGATTTAAAACAGATCTTTGAAGTGAAACATAAGTGACAAGCTAGATATCTTCTTTAGTCACAAATGTATAATTGGTGAATGATCAACTAGTGATTATGTGATTATGGTTGTCAGTACTATTGCAAATTTTGCGCTAGGCTTTGAGCCCGATCATCAAATGGTGAAGTGTGACCCACACATGGAGCATAGTTTATCGGGTCATTAAGAAGTAAGTTTGTTGGCATAAAAACTTATTACAATTTCGAATTTCAGGAGAGGACTTTAAAGATTTAATTAAAAAGACGCTTCACCCAAATCTACAACAACGTTTGCGGGCCGATGAATGTCTCCTTCATCCGTTTTTGCGTATTTTGAACGTGAGTCTTTTGAGCTTTTGAAAATATGGCTACAGTGAGTACTTTTAAAATTCAAAAAAAGGAATTTTTAGGAAAAATTTCCTGAAAATTTCCAACAGCTGCTGACGACGGGATCTGATCAGGTACTTACAGAAAAAAATAATTGAAGGCAAACTTCTCTCAGAAGTTAAATGTACCTATTTTCCTGATTTCAAACCCAAGTGAGTTAAAGATGAACTGAATAGCGCAAATAAAAAGAAATCATCATCATCACGTGTCATGCATTGTTTTTTAATCACATTGTTTAGCTAAAATATGAAGCAAAGAAGAATGAAGATCAAAAAGGCCAAAATCAATTCGATCGTGACTTTTGTCTCCAAGAGGCTGGCAATCAATCACCCTTTGGTTATCATCCGGATTCAAGAACTCGAGGCTCTCAAGATCCATTGTTTGCCTCACTCACGATTCCTGATTTTCTGCCTTAAAATTGCTGCTACTGAAGCATCAAAAGAAGGTATTCCTCTCGAGTAATTCGTTTTTTTTCTTGTCTGAGGGAGGGAAATCCATCGCTCATTTTTTTTTACAAAAAACAAATTAGTTACCATAATAATGACTCTAGATAACTCTTGGGGTCGATCTCACATCAATTTAGTGTCATAAATACCTTGAGTCAATAATTCTCTTTTTTTGCAATCTTTATACTCAAGGTATTATTCTCAGATCTGATTTTTATCTTCTGTCATTTCTTTTTCAATAAGTTGTTTCTGTCAGTCACCAGGTTACCTTTTCATTGGTTGTAAATATTGCTTTTCATTGTAATCTCTTGTGCCGGATTTGAGCTTGGATAAGTTGGGATGATTCAAAAATATTCCAAGTCACATCTGTCTTACCTGGTTGTTCCCAACTCAATCATTCTTCTGTGTGAGAGAATCAGTCAAAGTGTTAACTTTTCATTAAAAACCAAAAACAAAAAAAAAATTCTAAAAATAGTTACTCTTTGGGAGTATATTGTCCTTTTGTTTTTTGTTGCTCTTATTCTACAGGCGTATTTTTTCGGCTTTTCTAGAGTCTATAGAAAGATTCATTCGAACGCTGTCCTGTCAGCTCCGAGCCAAACTGATATTTTAGTTACTATTGTTATTATTGAATGATTTGTCTATTCTTATGCAAATGTGTTCTCCCCTGTGCTTATTCCTTTTATTGCCGAGAAGGGGCGGTCCTTGGGATTGCCTAGGAGGATAAGTGAGACTCTCATTTGGCGTCCCCCTTCCCCTTACACTCATTTGTAATCTATGCGTCTTATTGTACTACTGTAAATAAAGATACATATCTTCCAGGTCTATGCAACTGCAGTACAGGTCGGTCATTTCACAGGGACTCCCCTCTAATACGTTGGAGGAGTTGAGTTGGGTTGTCGGGGTGTTAGAGATGGCGGGATATCAAAAAGGATCCACTCTCTTTAACTTAACCCAAATTCTAGTCCACGTCCGTTTATACCTAGGAACGAATAGTCCTTTGTATTCTAAGCAAATGACTTATTTTTCAATCACTTGTGTCAAGGGATATTTTTATGAGAAAATATTGTTACTGGACAGCGTCTTTAGATGTGATTTATATATTTTCATGATTTCTATGTATATTCAGAGAGGTATGATGATTTATATATTCTATATGATTTACTTGATTGTTACATTTCATAGGTTGATAAAAGGCAAGAGACAAAGCAGAATAGAAGCAGTTTCTCTGTTTTGCGTTATTTGACAAAGAATTCTACAACCGATTTTATCAACCGTAAGCCTATCCACATTGTATATGATTTTTTTTGAAAGGCTTGACAAGATCTGCAATTCTTTTCCATTGTTCATGTTTGCGTGAACTTCTACACAAAACCTACGATTCATAGAGGCAATTGAGTGGTTGCAAAATTACTATTGCAATTTGAAATAGTGACTTTGCACTAAAAAGACTGCAAAAAAGCTCTGAATCGTAGAAACCTTGCAATTTTTAAAAACTTGAGAAAAACTTTTTAAAAACTTTAAAAAAACTTTGGCTTGAGTTCATATGACTTTTTCAGCTTTCTATGACCGGACTTGTTATAATAGTAATAGTCAATAGTTTTGTTGAGCATCTAGTTGCTACATGCTCTATTCCTGTTTGCTTTTTTAAACCATATGTATGTTGCCTATTTCAACGAAAATGTCATGTGCCCATTTTCTTTACACTTACAATGAGTAATGCTTTTCTTATTCGGAAATAAGTTCGGAGACTGTTCTAGTAATACATAATGTGAGTCTATTTTCTGAAAATTTAACAATTGGCAATAAGTCCTTTCTCTTTAATAAGCACACTTGAAACACATATTTCATCTGAGAGTTTGGATCATAATTATTTCTGGATCATAAGGCTTTGAAGCTGACCCATCAAAATAGCATGCTTATGTTTTTCTACAAAATTGTTTTCTAAATGCATGTGACAGTTTCTACTTTATATGAGACAATCTTTTGTCTTCCCATTGAATAACCTGCATTTTCAATATTTTTTTCGAAATATTATGTTGTTTCAAGTATCTGTGGAACAAAGCATCACCCCAAAATGCCCACCAATCACCCTACCTTTTACCTAATTTAACATGTGATCTTGTTACACGTTGCACTTCGTTTGATTGAAACGACTAGGAAAGCAATTTTTCTTTCGCAAAAAATGTTGAGGCAAAAAGAAAAAAGAGAGAAAGAAGATAAAAATGGAGCTGGAGCAATGACTGGCACAAGAAAATGCTTTCGGCTTTCAAAACGAAAACGGCTTGCAACGCTGAAAGTGCAAAACAAATTGAAAATATTCACGGGGTTAACCATTTTGGTGCATTTGATCATCTCCTTTTGTGTTGTGAAAGTTTTATGAATTTCGGCTACAAGCAAAACAATAAAACGAAGCCGGGAAAGTTTTTTTTAGGCAGGAAGATTAGGCATTAATAAAAACCCTAGCCCAATCAATAATTTTAGTCTTTAACATTTTAAAAAATTGATTGCGCATGCTAATGAAATTTTTTAGAATCTTTTAAAAAGAAAAACCCCCCGATGAATAATCAAGGCTATTTTGATCGAGTGACTGAAATAAGACAACATTCAAAGACGGGGAAAAAAGAAAAAAAATATTTTTGGCTTGCTTTAGGATCTTGTTGTATTCACCATTAATTTGCATTTTATCATTTAGCTGAATATTTTAAAGTTTGTGTGAAAAAGATCGAATTTCTGATCAGAATTGACATGTAGAGAGTAAATATAACTTTTTGGTAGGTCTGGAATGGAGATAACATTTTTGCACCATAGTCTACCAGAAATTCGAAAGTTGATTTTTGAGCGAAATTCATCAAAATCGGTGATCAAAAAATTGAACAAATCTTAACTTTGACGTTTATGGCTGATATTCGAGTATAATGTTGCCCTAGTGAAAATAAGTGACTTCCAAATGGCCGCTGCCTGATGCTAAGATAAAATAAGCATTTCCGGTGGAATGATGAGATTTCATAGATGAGACGCTAGTTTCCAATTATGGGATCATTTTCCAACCAGATCAAGAACTGACATGGCGTCTCTAAAAAAGCAAGCTTAGCGGCTTCATCTTTGATGGGATTTTAAAAGTTAGTTTATTTAATGTCATCAGCATAAAGCCGGATAGATAAGGCCCTAGATGAAAAATTTAATTGTCATGAAGTTTAATTGTCTGAATCATTAATGTAAATTGTAAAAAGTATAGGACCCAGAATACTTCCTTGGGATACACCGCTAGAATAATTAAAGGAAAGGGAGAGGGAATCGTTTAAAAGAACTTTGGAAGTTAGCTGAGAAAGTAAACTTTCAATCACTGAAATCATCGAGGGACAGATTTTATACGCATGTAGCTTGTGAACTAACAGTTTTTGCTTTATATGTCGGAACCTTTTCTCCTCCCATTGAATAACTTCCATTTTCAATATTTTTCTTCCGAAATATTATTTTGTTTCAAGTATCTGTAGACAAAACCATAAAACTATCCTTTTATCACCCCAAAATGCCCATCAATCACCCTACCTCTTAACTAATTTAACATGTGGTCATCCTACATAAAATTGTACTTCGTTTCATTGAAACCACTAGGAAACCAATTTTTCTTTCGCAAAAAAATGTTGAACCAAAAAGACAACAAAGAGAGAAAAAGAAGATAAAAACGGGGAGATTGAGCCATAACTGGCACAAGAAAACGCTTTCAAGACTCAAATTGCAAAAAAATCGTAAATATTGACAGGATTAACCAAAAATAATTGGTGCATGTGATCATCGGCTTTTGTGTTGTGAAAGTTTTACGAATTTGAGCTACAAGCCAAACAGTAAAACGAAGCCGGGAAAGATTTTTAAAAGCAACGGGTTCCGTTTGGGGCGAGTGACGAAACGCAGGTCGTCTTTATCAATTTTTCGATATCAATTTTTTATTGAACTCGCAAGTGTTCTCCAAACAGTGAGCAAGCTTTACTTCAAAAAAAGAAAGCGTTTTGAAATTACTTGAATTGAATCTATCCAATCCAATACCAAAAAAATGAAATTTGCTGTTTTTTCTTGAGAAAAGGATTTTGAAAAAAGCTAAATAGTAGATTTTAAAACAGATCTTTAAAGTGAAACAAATAAATGACAAACTAGGTATCTTTCTTCTTGAGTCACAAATGTATAAAGTGGTGAATGATCAACTAGTAATTATGGTTGTCAGTACTATTGCAAGTTTTGCGCTAGGCTTTGAGCCCGATCATCAAATGGTGAAGTGTGACCCAAACATGGAGCAAAGTATTTACTAATTTAACGAAAAGAATGGATTACTTTTAATAAATGGATTATGAATCTTTTTCATTCAATTTCCATCAAAAGACGACTCGCATCTTCCACATTTCTTCGATATGCATCTTCGATCTGAAAAAACAGAAGCGGTAAGCGTGCAATGAACTTTAAAAATTGATGACACAAACAAATTATAGCATATCTAGAACATATGTCCTATTATATAATATTTAGGCTTACCGTATCTGTAATATATAAATATATTACAGAAGATTCTGTATTTGAGGATGCTAAAACCCTACCGGAGAAAGGAGAAATGGTTCCACAAAACAATTCGTGGCTGTGACGCGATTCATCCAATCTGGATTCAGCATGTTTTTGATCAAAGATTTGAAATCTTCTCCTAAATTTCATAGCATTAAAGATTTCACGGAATCATCTTGCCTTTCAATGTTTCATTGTCAGATCCCAATCTGTCCTTAATTTCCTTCTCCCAAATCTCATCAAATTTAGCCGTTTGCGGTTTTTCGAATATTTTTCTTCCGAAACTGAAACTTGTTTAATGAGATATTTGACCAATTCCAATTGTGAAACTTTCAAAAGGCACTTTTATCTACGCACATTGATTCATATTGATCATCGGGAATTCCAAGTATAGCAAAAATTCGATCTTTCATCGCATTTTCGGGACCTCGTTTCCGAAGCTAAATTGGATTCGGACTCAATGCTTGACAAAAACGTTATTAAAAACCATGTTTGATAAGAAAGCAATAAAATCAAACCTTAGTCGCAACCTCTTCTGGTGTTCCAGTTGGCATCATCAGTTTCACACCCAAGAACTCAACAGCAACAAGAGCTGCAGCCCAAATATCCACACCCTCATTGTACTTGCTTCTCTGATACAGTTCGAGAGATTTGTAAATAAGTGCTGTCTTCAGATTTGCCGAGTGATCCAGTTTTGGATTGATTTCTCTATAAATTGATTGTAGACTAGGAAATGTTGTGCATTCTATGTACCTTGCTGATCCCAAATCTAGTAGCTTGACGACAAAAGTTTCCTGATCAATTCCAATATTTCTTGGTGAGACATCCTGAAAACAGTGTAATCGATTATATCTTGTGAAATCAAAGGTTTTTAACGTAAGATTTCTAAATAAATTTACTCGATGAATGATTCCACATTGATGAAGGTACTCGAGCGCCCGAAGTATTTGAGTGAGAAGAGATTTTAGCTGGATAAGATCTCTGCGCACCAATCCATTTTCCTCATCCCGAAAGAGCAAAGATCTAAAGGGAAGCCTCTTTACAAATTGTCTATTAGACACTACAGATGGTAAAATGAACATAACGTAAATATTCTAATAGAAGCGCAAACTCAAATAGAAGCGCAACCTCGCCATACAAAATTGGTCGCCCAAAAAGTCATTAGTTTTGAAAAAGAGTTTCGCTGAAAAGTGCTTAGAATGGTGTTTATGGGCCATATTTATAACCTGGAAGGGTTGGCAGTAAAATTTAAAAGGATCTAAAAAGTTTTCTTTAAATACTTTTTGAAAAAAAATTGTTAGGGGAGACCCTTATCATTTTCGAGAGTCCGACCTCCAGGGGTCAAGACCGAAAAAAAATATTTTTATTTTAAACATTTTTCGTTTTTTTTAGAGCATTTCCAATCGAGCTAGAGTGATTTTAAAAGATTAAAAAAATTGTATATGGTCCCCTTATATGATTTTTGGGGAGTCCGCAAAGGATAGGGAAAAATTAGAAGCACATGCGCTTCTATTAGAGTATTTACGGTAGGTAGGTATTTATAAATTGCAAAAACCCACGCGTAATATTTTTCCAATGTCTGGGGCATTCTCTCTTTTACAAAACATAAATGGGTCGGTACTTCGATCGGTCCTTCACCGTACATCTCATAGAATTTGACAATCTGAAATAATTAATTACGGGGTGTCCGAAAAAAAATGGTCATGTGTCCGAAAAAAAGTGGCTTGAGGCTGGAAAAATTTTCTCGTTGATTTTTCAAGGCTCATCGTGGTGTCAGAATTGGTTTTGCCTCAGATGCCACACAACAAGATGAAGTTGATTTGTTAATGATTTTGTGAATCCACGTGAATCACTCAAAATTCACGTATACATGAAAAACACACTTTTGAATTGCTCTATTTCAACACAAATCTTTCTACTTTTTGTTTCTATAAATTTGTTTTGTTCTTTTAATCTTCTGGCCAAAATTTCAGTTTGCATTGTTGGATTTGTTTCAAAAATCTTGAAAATATGGTTAATTTTTAAACGAGAAAATCCTCGTGTTGCTACTTTCCCATGACCAACTTTTTGGGGGTCTCTTACTTTCAAGATCCTAATATTAAAACAAATTTATAGGAAGAAACAGTAGAAAGAATAGAGGAGTTCAAAAGTGTGTTTTTCATGTATACGTGAATTTTGAGTGATTCACGTGGATTCACAAAATCATTAAAAACAATTTCATCTTGTTGTGTGGCATCTGAGGCAAAACCAATTCTGACACCACGACGAGCCTTGAAAAATCAACGAGAAAATTTTTCCAGCCTCAAACCGATGACCACTTTTTTTCCGGGCACCCTGTCTTATATATTGATTTTGCTGAAGTTCATTACATTTGGATGATCAATTGTTTCGGACAATTCTTTTTCTCTTTGAAGTTGAGTGAAACCGGTTTCTTCTGAACTCAAAATATCCAATTTGAATCTGAAAACCGGCATTGGGTCTTATGAATGCCAAATGATTACCTTCTTATCATCACCGGTTGTAATTCTCGATTGAAAGGCCGTTTTGCTGCACTAAATGAAATTTGTGGTTTGTTTTGGGTGTTTTCGAGTAATTTCCCTTGAAAATAAATATACATAAATAAATATACATATAAATATAAATAAATATTTTGGGTGTTTCAAAAAAAAGTCAGTTCAGAGCGCTTTTTCTCAGAATTTCTAGTGGCTTCTGGTGGTTGTTGTGGTGCCAAAGTGAATATTTTGGGCGGGTAAATTTTTGATATTTTGTTACTTTTCCCCGATTTCACGACTTTCCTGTACATGAAATTTCTGAGCCACCATGGTCACCACCACCGTGAGATTTTTGCCATAAAATTAAAACTTTCTACTGGCATCATGGTGTGTAATAAACACTATTAGGATAACTACAAATTTAAACCATACACTTTATTGATCAGCGTTTCCCCGAAAAAACGGGGAACTTCTTTGAAAAAGGCAAGTTGAAAATCCCTTATGTACGACAGGTTTTCATATAATGTAGATGAATAAAGTGTTTGACTAAAAATCTTAGTTTATATATTAACTCTATTATGACACCTCGATGCCAGTATAAAGCTTCAATTTTATGGCAAAAGTCGCATGGTGGTGGCCATATGATGGTTGTGATTATGGTGGCTCAGAAATTTTTTCATGTGTAGGAAGGAGGTCATGAAATCGGTAAAAGGTGACAAAATATCAAAAATTTACCCGCCCATAATCTTCACTTTGGCACCACAACAACCACCAGGAGCCACTAGAAATTCTGAGATAAATCGCGCTGAACTGACTTTTTTTTAAACACTCTGTATTTAGAATTTCACAATTTTTTACGTTGTAGATACCAACGTTTGCAAATGAAACCCACATCAGATTAACAAATTTTCCAGTTGCCATCGAATGAAAATGGTGAATCTTGTTGCTTTGTGTCAGCGTTTGAGGTCGATAGAAAGGGTCGGTCTGAACACAAACAGAACTCTCGATAGGGAGAAATTAATTGAAAACTGTTGAATGTAATTTTCTTGGCAAAAATTGACTAATCTTAACCCTTGATTAACCCTAATTGCAGGCCCCTTTTATCTCACCGTATCTGGCTGATATTCAATCGGTATCTCAATCGTTTCCTCTTCTTCGATCATCCGCGCAATTCCATTTCTTGTTTCAAGTTTTGTGAACGAAGCAATAGGCTTTTGGAATATTCTCGGTCCGGGTGGTGGTGCTTGGGAAGAAGAGCTAGTGTTACCGGGTTGGTTTACCATTCTGTGAAAAATGTGATTGATTTCGAAGCTTTTCGAACAAGAACCAACAAAGCAAACAAATTACATAAAATTCAAAAAGCTTAAAAGCACAAGTTGCATGACTATTGATCCAAAGAAACCGCGCCTATTGCCCGAAAATTCTCTTAATTCACTCAATTTTCTTGATAAAGCAATGAGTCATACCTAAACTGACGACACAGTTTACGAGAATGCACAGAATTTTACTTTTTATGAAGGTTTAAGTATGAGCTAAAAACATTTGGATTTAGAACATAACAATGATAATCGGAGAATGTTCTTGATCAAGCAAACTTCTACTTTAAATTACTGTAACAATTCTATTAGAGTAAATACGGTAATTTAGGAGATGATTTCAAAGATCTTTTCAAAAAGATGTTGCACTTTAATTCAAAACAACGACTGAGTGCGGATGAATGCCTCAATCATCGCTTTTTAACTCATTTAATTTAAAAATCCAGAAGCTTAAAGATCTGCGGTAGAATATTGGTTTTAAGATTGTGATAAATACCTTTTCATCAATGACATCGCTATTAACTTTGTAGCTAAAAAATATTTGAAGCACAGGTATTTTCAGCGTCAACTCAAAAAGGCCAAAAAGCCATTTATCGCCTTGATAAGAGCTAAGAACGAAATTCTTGCGTCACAAAATGTATGAATTTCAAAAAATATAAAAACTTTGACATTTAAATTTAGACATTGACTTTTAAAGCATTGTAAAACTAGTGAAAGTGCCAAATAACAGTCCACAGACTTCAAAATGCTGCCAACTTAAAGAAGAATACAAGTTTAATACAGTGCTCGTCAAACAATACAAGTTTACAACAAACTTTTATTTTAAAATATCTTTGATGATAATTTAAACAATTTAGGAAAAAAGACCAAAATTTGTATTTTGTCACCGTCCTCTCGCGCCTGTAACCCCATAGAAACTCTAAAAGGCAAAATATGCATGGATGTGCATTCAAAGCTTCTATTTAGTCAAGGGAACATGGAGATAGAGGTGAACCCAACTGATCGGGGTCAAAGCCTAGCGCAAAACTTGCTATAGTACTGAAAACCATAATCACTAGTTGATCATTCATCACTTTATACATTTGTGACTAAAGAAGAAGATATTTAGCTTGTCATTATTTGTTTCACTTCAAAGATCTGTTTTAAAATCTACGATTTAGCTTTTTTTCGAAACCCTTTTCTCAAGACAAAACAGCAAATTTCATTTGTTTGGTATTGGATTGGATAGATTCAACTCAAGTAATTTCAGCGTCAACTAAAAAAGGCCGAAAGACTTTTGATAGCCTTGATGAGAGCTAAGAACGAAATTCTTGTGTCACAAAACGCCTGAATTCCATTTAGCAAAAAATATAAAAATTTTGACATTTAAATTTAGACCTTGACTTTCAAAGCATTGTAAAACTGGTGAAAGTGCCAAATGACATTTCTCAAACTTCAAAGTTGCTCTCAACGTAAATATAAGTCTCATTTTATATTGTCAAAGTATTTCTTAAAGAAATGTTGGGTCTTTGAAATTTCTTTATCATCCTAGAGTGAATCATAAAAAAGTAAGTAAAAGATAATAAAAAGCGCTTTCGCTAAAATTGGCCATGCTAAAGTTTAGAAATACAATGGAAAACCTGTCAGAAAAACGTTTAACTTGCGCAAAATTTTGACTCACAAAACCTTTGTTTCACTATATGACGAGTAGAAACGTTTTGGACCTTGAGTAAGAAATTTAACTTTTGCGTGCCTGATACTCTTCACTCAGGACACGCTATTTCTTGTTGGAGATATCTGATCTGGTTTTCTGGGATATCGAAGGAGTGATCTATTGGGAGTTGCTGGATAGTAAGACAACACCAAGCTCTACTAAACACACCCAGCAGCTTGATGAACTATCCACAGCTTTGGCCACTGATAGGCCCCACTTTTTTTCAAAACCCTTTTCTCAAGACAGAACAGCAAATTTTATTTGTTTGGTATTGGATTGGATAGATTCAATTCAGGTAATTTCAAAACGCTTTCTTTTTTGAAGTAAAGCTTGCTCACTGTTGGGAGAACACTTGCGAGTTCAATAAAAAAATTGATGTCGAAAACTTGATAGAAATGACGTGCGTTTCGTCACTCGCCCCGAACGGAACCCGTTGCTTTTAAAAAATTTCATTAACGTGTGCAATCTATTTTTTTGAATGTTAAAGACTATTATTGATTGGGCTAGGTTTTTTATTAATGCCTGATCATGACAAAAAAAACTTTCCCGGCTTCGTTTTAATGTTTTAATGACTAATGATGATCAAATGCACCAAAAGTTTGGTTGGCCCTGTTAATCTTTACGATTTTTTGCAATTTGAGCCTTGCAAGTGTACTCCTGTGCCAGTTATTGCTCCTTCTCCACGTTTTTATCTTCTTTTTTTCCTATTTGTTTTCTTTTTGGCGCAACATTTTTTGCGAAAGAAAAATGGGTTTCCTAATGGGATAATGAAACGAAGTATAATTTTGGGTAACAAAGTCACATCTTAAATTAGGTGAATGGTGGGCATTTTGGGGGAATAAAAGTATTTGAAAAGGGTAGTTTTATGGTTTGTTTCACAGATACTTGAAACAACATAATATTTCGGAAGGAAAATATTGAAAATGCAGGTTAGCTTAAGGTTAGGTTTAGGTTTTTATTCAATGGGAAGACAAAAGATTCTCTCATATGACTTACTAATTAATTAGCCAAGTTTGAGGTACGAGATACTGCAGCCCTACTTCTGCATCTACCGATCCGAAGAACCCCGAGAAGTATTATCTACATTTGACATGGATAGACGCCGTCCTCAACAATATCCGCTTCGTCCGTTACCTCTTCATCCTCTACCGCCACCTCCAATCAACTGCAACGTTAACTTGGCCAAGAAGCTTGACACGACCTACCACAACGTTTTGGAGGGGTTCCCCAAGGCTCTTCTCTGCCCTCAGCTTACGCCAACTCACCAAAGGAACTTGGATCATTGGATGATGGAGAACGTGTTTGCCGCATACGGGTTAGACTCGATCATTGTTCATACTTATATAAATCCTTAATTTGTCGCCACAGTTAGCCAGCCATATTTGAATATTCGTAAGTAAATTTCAATTTTGTAAACCCCCACCTCTCCATGCTCATCATTTGTCTCCCAATGCTTCATGATCGTCGACTCGACAATCGCGAGAGTGGAGACATTGGCATTTGAACATTTGAACAACCGCAACGAGAGTGGAGACATTTGGAGTTTTTGAACTTAAAAATGCAAAAAAGTGGACCCCGGTGTGTTCCCTGTGCGCGAGCACAATCGCACTTGACCTGGCATACTACAACAGCAGATATCGTCTTTTTTTCACTCGTCCAATCGGAAGCGTCCATTTTGGGTCATCCGGTAACCAATCCGTTGTCTGCCCCATATGGTCACCGCTTCCCAAAACTAACTTCGGCTGTAGAATTGGCAAACCCAGTTCCGGCTCATTTTGGCCACAATGTTGGGTTCTCCGCCGGTCGAAATGGGATCCCAAGTGCCTGTAAAAGGGTGCTGAAGGGCGCCGCTGTGAATTTTTGGATTCATCCCAAGGACTTCGGTCCGCAGGGGCAGCAAAAACATGAAAGTCAAAAGGCTTGAACATTTTGAAAAATCCGACGTTTCTTTTCTCGAAGTTCCCAGTTACATAGGCGCCAACCCAATATAAAAAGATCTAGAGAAGTTGTATAGATTTAAATAAGCCATAGTTAGGTAGACAAATATCTGGTTTCTACGGCGGATGTAAAAGAGTTTTATACCGAAGCCTCCCTACGTCCTTGCCAAGCTTGCATGTCGTGAGCCACCGCCACCTTGATGTGATTGCTGTGTCGGTCGCGCAGCCGTTCGAATCATCGATCGTCCCAAAACGCTTTGTCCTGAGCAAAAGTTTCATAACTTTTTTGATTTCAAAATCTACTTGCTGTACTTGGTGATCTTAAAATTACCTCCAAATCTTTCCCCGGTCGAATCGGTAAACTCGCTCATTTATGGGACGCCGAAAACACTCTGACTCGGCCCGACAAATGAATTATAGTTTCTGGAAAGGATGGTAGAATCAAACCATATATATCTATAAATAAATAAACGATAAAGGAAGTTATAAATAAAATATCTTTTACAATTATATACTAGGTTGACAAGAAAGCCTTTTCCGCGGCAGCTACAACTCTTTTTCCGACCAGGCTTTAAGCAAAGCGTCAAGAATTGAATTTTTTTTTTGTTATAATTGTAACACTAATTGGCAACAGTACACGTTTTTTGGGTTTCTCTTTTTGTTTTAAAATTTTTAATATTCATCACAAAAGATGGGCCACCTATCGATTGAGTGTCCACTGATTTTCGTTGGATAAATTACTGACTTAATCCTTCAATTTTTATATGCTGCAAACTTGGTAATGTATTCTTATGAATCAAATGGTTTATAAGTGGTTTCATCGTTTTAGAGAGAATATGAAAAACCTCAAAGACGAGGAGCTAAAAAACCCTCGGCAGTGAATAACGAGTACTTGAAAATACTAAACAAAGAAGATTCAAATAAAAATTATGCAGCGATTAGCACTAGTGCTTGGCCGATATGTGGTTGGCAAAGCGAACGGAGTCGGCAAACGAATCCATTACTTTCTTCCAAAGAACAATAAGACTTTTGGGTGATGACGTCTAAAGGTCACCTTCACATTCATCTACACCCAGGAATCAAAGCAAAGCGAATTTTGTAACGTTTTATTGATAAATGGGGAGAAGTAGGCCCACTTCGATAGTGTATGCAAAAAGTGTTACTAGTCAGACCCTGAGCGTTCACTAATACAGCCCCAAAGCGGAACAACATAAAACCAAAGCTAATCAATATATCCGATCAAATTCCCAAGGCATCGTAAGATATTGAGTTTCCGATTCTAGGGAAAAATTTATGATGTGAATCTCTACTTTTAATACCTGGAAGAAGTAGATCGCATCTCACAACATAACATCAGGGTTCGTTTTTGAGGGCAGATTCGAGAAAGCATAGTGTGATAAAGTGAAGGCTTAGCCGTTCTCCAAATCCATATTTGATAATTTAGCTATTCTCCCGTTCCGAGGATTGACTCGTTTGGTGGAACATGATGAAACCGAGAAGGAGAATGAGGAGGTCAGCACATTTCACTCTTTCATCTTATTGAATCAATTTAGTAATTAGAGCTTTGAAAACTTAATCTAAGGCTTGTCTTTTAATTCTATGAAATCATTTCATTTACAGAGCCTGTCTCGAGTGAGTCCAGCCGACGAAGCATATCATGATGAAAGAGAATCCGATCCGGATTCGGATGACAATGATGATGGACGTTCACCTTTATCTTTTAGCGCATAGATACATTTATTGACTACTTTTTTCTGTACTAGATTTCTTTTCTTTCTATTACCCTCTTTCTTCTCGAAATTTGCATCTTATTAGCCTCTCACGTTACAAAATTATCCCTAGACTGAAATTTTCAGGTATGCAGCTAGTTCTAGTTGAGAATTCAAATCCCGATGACCCAGAACCCAGCTTGCCAATTAATTTTTTTGTTTCTTTATCACTAGTCACCTAAATTTTCTTGATATCTCAAGGGTTTTTTCTAAAGATCTTCCTTTTTTTGCGTAACTTGAGCCTTTTCCCCACTCTACCGAAATTTTCTCACTTTGTCACTGAAAAATTGCTCATTTTTTCAGGATTTTATTTCTTCTTCTTCTATGAACATAATGTAAATAAATGGGTTCAAGGACCATAAATCACTCGCTCAATCCTTCATAGATCCTTCGATCCGTCGAATACTCGCTTTGACAAAGGTAAAATTTGTGAATCTTTTGCAAATTCTTTCAGTCTTAATTTCACCATTGATCTTACATCTAAAGATTCTTTACCACATTTCCCTTCTCATTCAATACCTGAACAACCTCCATTTTTTCTTTGTCATCAAGATTTTGTAAAAGCTTTTGCTAGACTAACAACTAAACAATCGTTCAGTCCTGATGGCTTAACCTCCTTCCACCTTAAAGCACTTTACAGAATTCTTATTGGCCCCACCACTAAATTATTCAATAAATTCTCCTGTTAGGCAAAGTTCCTACGAAATAGAAAGAATCTTATGTTTTTCCAGTTTCTTAAGCTAGTCCTAAGAATACTTTTGCAAATTATCGTCCTATTAGCTTAACGTCTCCACTATCTGAACTTTTTGAGATCTGAATTCACGAAAAAATCATGAAACATTTTGTGGATTATTCACTTTTTTCACCCCAACAGTTCGGCTTTCTCCTAAATAAATCTACTGTTTCTCAGCTCACTTTAGCTTATAATCAACATGCAAAGGCTTTAGCTCAAAAAACCAAGTTTCAGATTGAAACGATCCTTTTGGACTACGCTAAAGCCTTTGAATCAGTCTCACACCGTCGTTTAATCCATAAACTTTGCTGTTATAAGCTTAGCTCGCAGATTATTGATTGCATCACTGATTTTTTTTCTCTGACCGCTCCTTCAAAGTAATCATTGGTGACAACTTTTTTTCATCAAAACCCTACTCAAGTGGAATCCCTCAAGGCACTATTTTAGAACCGTTACTTTTTACTATATTCATAAATGATTTGCCAGATTTCTTGCAATCCTCCCCAAATTCTGTAAACTCCTCCATTTGGCTCTTTGCTGATGATGTTAAACCTACATTTAAGGTTTCTTGTAACCCTAATTTAACCTCAAGGGTGGTCCATAATATTCAAACAGATTCAAATCTAGTATATAGTTGGTCGGAAAAATGGGGTCTTAAGCTTTCTCACTCTAAATCCTTTCATTTTACTACGGCTAACACATCTTTCTCTTTTGAACTCGGTGGTGAGACAATAAAAACAATTTTCTAAGCAAAAATTTGTCCGAGATCTCGAATTTTTCAAAGAGTTCAAGTTCTTTGAATTTCATGAAATTGAAAAAAGACGCTATGTGCTGTTCTAGTATGCCAGATCGAGTGCTATTGTGCACGCGCACGGGGAACACACCGGGATCCGCTTTTTTGCATTTTAAAGTTCAAAAACTCCAAATGTGTCCACTCTCGTTGCTGTTGTTCAAATGTTCAAATGCCAATGTCTCCACTCTCGCGATCGTCGAATCGACGAACATGAAGCATTGGGAGACAAATGATGAGCATGGAGAGGTGGGGGTTTACAAAATTGAAATTTACTTACGAATATTCAAATATGGCTGGCTACCTGTGGCGACAAATTAAGGATTTATATTTTCGATTCGATGAATAGAAAAAGCGCAGAAAGATTCATATTCATAGAAGAATCCCATTTAGACGCCCAAAGATTTACTTCCAATGAAATTAAGTTTTATGCAAATTTTATGAGCTTAGGGATGTTTATCCCATTAGGAAATCTCTTCGAATGTCTCCATTAGTGCCATTTTATGGGGTTGTTTCTTAATGAATACGTTCAGTATCATCAGATAGGACCAAATTTAAAATAAAAGGAGAGCGCAAGGAAGTAGAAAACCGGTTAGAGACAAAAATATTGCGATAAGTAATAAAATCTTTAAGTAAAAGGCTAGGTTTTTGGTAAAAATCGAATACAAGGACCTCATTTGTGAAAGAGACTTTACGATTGAAATCACCAAGGATAAGATTACAATCTGCTGAATAAAGAAAGAGTCCTAATTAAAATATATTAAAAATTTGTTCAGTTCCATTTGGGTCAATATTCGGTGGCCTATAAAACCAAGAAATGCGAAAGTGAAGTGGGGGAAGAACATCTACAATCAAAATTTCGCATCCCCAAAACGACTAGCCCTCTTTAAGGTAGGTTTTACTAAATACTCCTCCCTTAGGTATAAGCATAGATTAAAGATTTTTAATCTTCAATCTCTTCAAGACCGCCGTCTTATTATTGGTGTTTTAAAATTGTCAAAGGTATCCATCCAGTCCCGTCATTTATAAATTTTCTCCCTCTCAAAAACAGGCAATCCGGAGCCAGGTCAGGGCCTTTTCTTCTGCATGAACAATAACTTTTGTGTAAATCAGCCAGAAATCTTCTCTCTAATCGTGTGTTTGATAGTTGGAATGCTCTTCCACCCCATAATAGAGATATTTCAAATGTAAACACTTTTAAGAAAGCGTTACTTCCTATCAAACTTGTAAACTAAATTGAGCATTTACGTTCATTACATTTTGAATCGATAGAAATTCAAAATTTGTTAAAAGTTGATCTCATATTTTATCGGGGTTTTTAAAATTTTGTTTTTCTCTCTGTGCATGGCTTATTGTCTTATTGGCTACGCTTTATTTCATGTCTTGAATAAAGTATGAATATATAAAGTAGAAACTGTCACACCCATTTAGAAAACAGTTTCGTAGAAAAAGCATATAAGTATGCTATTTTGATGGGTCAGCTTCAAAGCCTTATGATCCAGAAATAATTATGATCCAAATTCTCAGATGAAATATGTGTTTTACGTGTGCTTATTAGAGAGAAAGGATTTATTGGGAATTGTTAGATTTCCAGAGAATAGAGTCACATTATGTATTACTAGAATCATTAAGAAAGGACAAACCGAAAAGCATTACTTATTGTAAGTGAAAAGAAAAGCGATACTTGTGACATTTCCGTTGAATTGGGTACATATCTGGGGGTTTAAGAAGAGCAAACAAGAATAGAACGTGTCCCAACTGGGTGTCCAACCCAGGAAGATTTGCAAGATTTCATTTTGCAATCATATACAATGTAGATAGTCTTACGGTTGATAAAATCGGTTGTAGAAATCTTTTTCAAATCATGCAAAACAGAAAAACTGTTCCTGTTCTGTTCCTCTTACCTTTTATCAACCTATGAAATGTACTAATCGTGTGAATCATGCAAAATTTATAAATCATAATGACTATCTGAATATGCATAGAGACCATATGAAAATATATAAATCATATCTGAAGACACTGTCCAGTCACAATATTTTCTCATAAAAATATCCCTTGCCACAAGAGTTTGAAAATAAGGCATTTGCATTGAATACAAAGGGCAGCGTTCGAATGAAACTTTCTATAGACTCTAGAAAAGCCTAAAAAAACACGCCTGTAGAAAAAGAGCAACAAAAGGACAAAAAACTCCCAAAGAATAACTATTTTTTAAATTTTTATTTTTATCTTTTTTTTGGTTTTTGGTTTTAGGTAATGAAAAGTGAACACTTTGACTGATCCTCCCATACAAAAGAATAATAGAATAGAAATCAAGCAGGCAACAGATGTGACTTGGAATATTTTTGAATCATTCCAACTTAGCCAAGCTCAAATCTGGCACAAGAGATTACAATGAAAAGCAATATTTACAACCAATGAAAAGGTAACCTGGTGGGTGACAGAGACCATTTTCTGAAAAAGAAATGACAGAAGATAAAAATCAGATCTGAGAATAATATCTTGAGTATAAAGATTGCAAAAAAAGAGAATTATTGACTCAAGGTATTTATGACACTAAATTGATGTGAGATCGACACCAAGAGTTATCTAGAGTCATTATTATGGTAACTTATTTGTTTTTTTTAAAAAAAAATAAGCGATGGATTTCCCTCCCTCCGACAAGAAAAAAAAACGAATTACTCGAGAGGAATACCTTCTATTAATGCTTCAGTAGCAGCAATTTTAAGGCAGAAAATCAGGAATCGTAAGTGAGGCAAAAAATGGATCTTGAGAACTTCGAGTTCTTGAATCCGGATGATAACCAAAGGGTGATTGATTGCCAGCCTCTTGGAGACAAAAGTCACGATCGAGTTGATTTTGGCCTTTTTGATCTTCATTCTTCTTTGCTTCATATTTTAGCTAAACAATGTCATAAAAAAATAATGCATGACACGTGATGATGATGATTTCTTTTTATTTGCGTTACTCAGTTCATCTTTAACTCACTTGGGTTTGCAATCAGGAAAATAGGTACATTTAACTTCTGAGAGAAGTTTGCCTTAAATTAATTTTTTCTGTAAATACCTGATCAGATTCCGTGGTCAGCAGCTGTTGGAAATTTTTAGGAAATTTTTCCTAAAAAAATACTTTATTTTGAATTTTAAAAGTACTCACTGTAGCCATATTTCCAAAAGCTCAAAAGACTCACGCTTAAATTACGCAAAAACGGATGAAGGAGACATTCATCGGCCCGCAAACGTTGTTGTAGATTTGGGTGAAGCATCTTTTTAATCAAATCTTTAAAGTCCTCTCCTGAAATTTGAAATTGTAACAAGTGTTTATGCCAACAAATTTACTTCTTAATGGCCCGATATCTCTATCCAAACGTGGCTCGATTTTCTCCTCCCAAATACTGTCAAACGCCTTTTCCACTCCACGTTCTCGAATCTAAAAAGGTTAAAGTGAAGAGCAATTGAAATATGGCAGTTTCTTTTATTTTCAGTTTCACAAACCATTTTGGTGAATTCTTCATCGTCTCCAGTTGGCATGAAGAATTTCATTCCCAACATTTCAAGAGCAACTAAAGCTGCAGCCCAAATATCAACATTTGTCGAGCGATCGAGTTTTGGATTTGTTTCTCTGAAATATTGGTAGTTATTTATAGAAGAGATAAATTCGAATACCTGGCAAGTCCAAAATCAAGAAGTTTGATCTCGAACTCCTGATTTATTCCAATGTTTCGGGGAGTGAGATCCTGAAAACAATATTGGTAAGGAAATCTTAAAGCCCGTGATCAGGAAACAGGATTTTTAATCTGCAATCAGACATGTCTTACCCCGTGCATGATTCCACGCTGATGAATGTAATCAAGAGCTCGAAGTAATTGAGTGAGAAGTGCTCCAATATGGCGGAGATCTCTTTTCACCGGCTCTGATTTTTCGTCGTTATGGCGGAGATGTCTAAGAGTTAACATTATTAACTTCAGTAATCAAATTAAGTAATCAAAAGCTCGAAGTAATTGAGTGAGAAGTGCTTTAATAATACGAAGATCTCTCTTTACTGGATCTGATGTACCAATCTTGTGACAAAAATCTCTGATATTGAAAATGACTAATTAACCAAGTATCTCCATCTGAATTTACTTGAAATATAATTCCAAAGTGTGATCCATTCTTTCGGTGACAAGCCAGATGTGTGTTGGATTTTCGGGCTTCTCCACAAAAACATCATAAAACTCGACAATCTAGAGTCAAATTTTATACTTTGTATGCCTAAAAGCTCCCACATTCTCATGTCGATTGAAACGAGAAATTTGAATTTCTCTTCTGAGGCGAGTATAACCATCGATTGTTTGATTCAATTGTTCAATCTTGTATCTAAATGTTTACTTATAAGTATTTTCATTATTCAATTTTTAAAAACCTCTTTGCAGCTACAGGTTTTTCATCTCGATTCACAGCGGCACTAAAATAAATGTTATTCCTTGCCTTGAGTCGTGATTTTCGTCTAGACCAGTTTAAAAACTTACATAATATCGGCAAAATTTCCACTGGCGATCACATGATAAACATTTTTGTTTTCACTGAGTTTCGGTGGACGATATGAGACTGTGAAGAATCAGCAAGTTTTTTTTAATATATTCTTATCATGATTTTACTTGAATAATGCTAATCACTTACCGTATCCGGTTTATATTCTTCGGGCAATTCGATGTCACCCAACACTTCCTCGAAATCTGGTTTTCCATCTTTTGTGATCGGTTTCACAAAAAGAGTTCTGGCTTTCACGAATCTTCGTTGAACTTTTGGTGGTTCTTCTTGAGATTGAGCGGGACATTTTATTGAAAGGTCATTGAAATGAATATCAAATTGAGAATTCTTTGCCTCTGTAGCTGGGGTCGACATTGAAAACATCTGAAATTCCAGCAACTAAGCTTTTTTTATGAAATTAAGGAAAATGGAATCGAGAAAAAAGGTTATCCAAGAGTTTAAAATGTGGAAATTGAAAAAGAAGGGATCTGCTTTTCGAACATCAAGAGGCATTAATAAGTTTGAATGGACTTGTAAGCTAAGCTTCTTAAATTTAAAAATGAAAGGCGGGGTCAAGTTGTCTCTTACATGAAAGAAAATTTTATGAACATCGAAACCAACAAGAACATCGGAGGAGTAGGCTTCCTGGTCAACAAGGACATCGTGCCACTCGTCGATAGCCATGAGATCATCTCTCCACGACTCGCAGTAACCTGGTGAACCTGGTGACTGACAGAAACAATTTATTGAAAATGAAATGACAGAAGATAAAAATCAGAGCTGAGAATAATGTCTTGACTATGAAGATATTTAACGAGAGAATTATTGACACTAAATTTATGACTAATTTAGATGTGAGGTCGACACCAAGAGTTACCCTATCCGTGATCATTGAAGTAGAAAATGCAATTATTTGAATGTTTTAAAATCCCTGGTATATAAAATTATTATGGTTATTAATTTTTCTTTTAAAAATGTTTCATTTCATTGCCACAGTGATGGCCCTTGGTGATCTTCCTCTTTAAAATAACATTATCACTAAACCCGTGGCTGGATGTGCTACCAGAGGCCATTGAATCCGTCATTTTTGGATGTTTAGGGAAAGATTTCTCATCAGTGGAAACTTCGAGAAAAGAAACCCCCAACTCGGAATAGCTTTTTTCCTGAATTTGAAATGGACGAGGGGGGGAGAGAGTGAGAAGAGAGTGAGAGGAGGAGACCAAAAGAGACTCTGATTATTTCAAAAAGGATCAGCGGAGGGTACGGATCGAATACGTATCGTTTGATTCACAAAACTGCTAAAGTTTTGAAAATCTTGAATAGACTGCGGAATAAAAGAGCAAAATGAACCGACAAAATGAACCGACTTCTGGCACAAGAAAATGGGGCTGAGAGAAACGAGATTTTCGATCGATCGGAGAAGAGAAAAAGAGAAAGGAGAAAAGGGCAGCGGTAAGGAGTCAGCAATTTTTAGGCAGCATTTAGGCTTTCTGTAGAAATTTTTCGACAAAGTTATGGTTTTGGGCCGAAAACGTCTAAAACTCCTAGGTTTTGAGTTTTTGATATTGATATTGATATTGATTTTGAGACTAAACTGTCTTCGTTATGAAGCGTTTTAAACCCTTGAGTTCGCTCTATTTAGGTCTAACCATTACTCTATTTAGTTGACATAAAACAAGACTTCCAAATAAGGGTAAAAAGTAAAAAAATAGGAGCTTCAGAAAGAAATCAAGACTTTCTTACTGGCAATAAATTTGTCACCGGAATTTTTGACTTCGATTCTGTTCCGCAAGTTCCTCTATGGAAATTGATTTTATTTTTGCGCTGAAGTTTTAGTAAAGGCTTATAATCTGAACATATTTTTCTTTTAGAAATGTTTCTATCTATGAATCGGTGGAAGATACGGAAATGCATTTGTCAAACACATTTTTTGAGTGACATCTAACGAATCGTCGATGAAATAATAAAAAGTGTTACTGAACTACTCACCCTGTGGTGATCATCCAGTTGGCCCAAGAAGAAATCGAAAGATGAAGGATATTAAAGAAAAATGAAGGAATTTTCCTTGTCTAGTCAACTTTTATTACATTACTTCTCATACACACCCCACGCAAGTACTAGGAGTTCCCCTGAGCCATTTGATAACAACCACAACAAAGTTGTCCAACTAATGAAAAAGCTTTGCACAAGACAATTACTTGGTCTATTGAAACACCATTCCAAAAATGAAAGAAATTGGTTAAGCATAAAAGGCTTCTTGGAAAATTCCATTGGAATAACTTATTTGAGTTCACTACTAAAAAAACTATAAAATTTTATAAGCCAAGAGTAATTGATGATGGGAATACTCAGGAAAGCTCATAGAATGAATGTTTTTACACAATCATCCTCACCATCGAATGCTTGCGTAATGAAACGCGAGGAGGAGTGAGGATAGAGGAAATGTGGAGGAGGGGCGAGGATCTTTGCGGAACTTTTATTTTATCTTACAAAACAATACTAAACCAAAGAAATCGAGAAGTGAGTCTCCTTCAAATTAAAACTAGCTAGATCCTTTTAAAGAAAATTTTATAGCAACTCTCTATAAAGCATTTTAATTTTGGAGTCATTTGAGAAAGCCGTTGCAACCAGATTTCAGCTAGTTTTAACTCATTCCGACGAAGCCATTTTTCGCTTAACTGACCATTCGGACGACAGAGTTCTATGTTAGCTGATGTGAAAAATTTTTTGGAAAATGGGAAATGAGAGGGGGAGGCACATCCGCGCGAAAATGCGTTTTCTATAGGATTTTTACGTTTTTACGTTTTCGCAGGTGAGTTTGGCCGTTTCTGTGTAAAATGACCGATTTTTTTGATAAATGCGGTTTTAAAAAATTCTACAAGACGGATTTTGCTAATTTTTTCATCATTGAATTCAGCACATTTTTCTGCGTTGAATGGCTAACAGCGATAAGCAATGAGCAATATTGCACAGAATTTAGATTTTCTAGCTTTCTAAAGTTGAGCGCCTTACAGATTTGGGCAAAGACTACAAGATTTACTTGCCTTTGGATATTCCCCGCCTTAATGGGAACAAAATCCCAGTCGTTTACAATCACCACAGACGGAAAGGCGAGCTGAATTACATCTAAATCTTGCTGACTGCTTATCGCTGTCATTTTCTCTTTTTCTCTTCTCCGATCGATCGAAAATCTCGTTTCTCCCAGTTCCCATTTTCTTGCGCCAGAAAGTTGGTTCATTTTGCTCTTTTATTTTTCAGTCTACTCATGGTTTTCTTTTCTTTTTTTCCAGTTTTGTATTTAATTAAAGCAGAATATGTAATTCACAGTCTTAAAAAATATAGCAATTTAACCTAATACAAAAAAACTTATTTTTTTACGAAATTCAATGGAGAATTGGCAAAAACAAGATTTAACGCTAAATTTTCTTGCAGAAAATGGTAAATTAGCCATAAATCTTTTCCCTAGTATCTTAGTTGATCAAAATTTAAAATTTCACAACTTTAGCAGTTTTGTAAATCAAACGATACCTATTCGATCCGTACCCTCCGCTGATGATATCAGATACCGAGGGCAAAGGTGTGTTTTTGCTTTGAAACGGAATGACTCATCTTCTATTTTTTTATAGGTTTTCTAGGACAAGTGATAAGTATATATTAATACTATTTTCGTATTAATTTCATAATATTTTTCATGATTTTCTTTTATTTAAGAGAAAACTTGGCCCCACCTTTCATTTTTAAATTTAAGAAGCTTAGATTACAAATCCATTCAAACTCATTCATGCCTCTTGAGATTCAAAAAACAGATCCCTTCTTTTTCAATTCTCATTTCGAACTCTTGGATAACCTTTTTTGTTCTCGATTCCATTTTCTTCAATTTCATAAAGAAGCTTAGTCGCTGTAATTTCAGATATTTTGAATGTCGACCCCAGCTACAGAGGCAAAGAATTCTCCATCTGATATTCATTTGGATGTTCTTTCATTAAAAAGTCCCCCTCAATCTCAAGAAGAGCCACCAATATAAAAAAACTTGATCATTCTTCACGGTCTCATCATAATTGCCCCATTTTTTTGAAGGATCGTTTCTATCGTTCGCCGAAATTCAGTGAAAACAAAAATGTTTATCATGTGATCGCCAGTGGAAATTTTACCGATATTATGTAAGTTTTTAAACTGGTCTAGAAGAAAATCACTACTCAAGGCAAGGAATAACGTTTATTTTAGTGCTGATGAAAAACCGAGATGAAAAAAATCGAGATGAAAAACCTGTAGCTGCAAAGAGACTCTAGATTGTCGAATTTTATGATGTTTTTGT